TTTATTGGATGATCGTGTTTCCAACTCATCCAACTTTCAGAATTAAGAAATGAATGAATAGATATCAAATTGCCACAAATCAAGCAGTGTTCCTCCTTAACGTTGCATTCCAACTTTCCAGATCTCTGAGGTACCATCCCTGATCAATATATATTGCATTAAATGTTAGGATTGTGGATGAGTATTCGAGAAATTAACTGCAGAATATAGTTTTCAGTGTTTTTTTTCCCCAAATTTAGCTAGATTTTGTTTTTGAAAGTCAGTTTACATTGTTTGTATATTTGACTAAGAAGATAAGACCTTCCAGTACTCCACAGTTATGCCAGGATAACTGCTATTATTACATGTATATCATATTTTAGCTAAAAAACTATCATTTTAATACAATTTAAGCATTGTACCATTAGAATTATGAGTGATGTTTCACATATTTTTGAGAGGAAGTTCAATTTTAAGAAAATTTGGCAAGTGAGAAATATTTTGAATTCTTCTGAAAAAAACAAAATTTGAATACGATGTATTTGAATACAATATAAATTGAAAGTTATTTTTCCAAGATTGGTAAATTTCATTGAGAAACTTCATTAAAGCATAGACTTATAGCGCTGTCGACCAGAATTAAACCTAATTCATAAACGCTGTAACGTCAGGATTTGCCTCATGGCCAAAGTTACTTTCAACAAAATATAGGAGACACTAAAACTTGGAGCTCATGAATACATGATATTGTACATTGTAGTTGATGTTTTTTGTTTATTATGGTACATTTCTACTTCAGATTGTGGCTATGAAGTTTATTCCTAAACTTGGACGCACAGAGAAGGAGCTGCAGTCGCTGAGAAGAGAGATTGATATAATGAGAGGTCTCCACCATGCAAATATCATTGAAATGTTAGATAGTTTTGAAACCGAGAAAGAGGTGAGTTAAAACACATTTGAGTTTTGAGTCATTGCACCATCATTATCTTTTTCTGTTTTTTGTTTGTTTACCTATTTAGCCCCAATGTTCAGATGCAGCCTTAAAAAGGAACTACTAACTTGGGCCGTATCTGTCTGTATCCGTGCATTTTCAAATACATAACAACCAAATTTAAAAAAGCAAGTTGATTTCGAATGAAGTCTTTAAATGGCTTTACAATATTTTTTTCTGAATTATCTGAATATTCTACTAGACTTTCTCAACTATGGCAATTTTATTGTTTTATGATAATTTTGTTAGTCCCCGTTCGGACGTAGTCCGAAAACGGGGACTTATGTTTTGTCCTGTGTGCGTGTGTGCGTGCGTGTGTACGTGCGTGCGTGCGTGCGTG